TTTTTGTTTTGCCGACTTAATTAGCCTACTGAAAGGGTTTTCAGGTCTTTGGTTTGCTTTCCGAAGCAAAATAGGTCCCTAAATGGCTCAGAACCCTTCTTGAAGTTCCTACCGTAGTCACACAGTAACGACAAGAGAGCGATGGTTCGCCCCCTACCGTAAATCCAATTTGAAGCCAGCTCTACAAAATGGCACCTGAAGGTAGGTAAAAAAGAGAGATGCTAGCGATCAAACGGTGTATACATATTTTTGGGACACTCTATATACGTACTTGAAAATGAAGCTTACCAGTCCCTGAGAAAATCACGAAATTCTCAGGTCCTTGGTAAAGTCTTTTGCTCTGAGTTTCTGTAAAAGCTAACTATTCAAAAAAGAAAAACTTGTTGGCATAACATTGGTTTTGCTCCATCAACATTGATTCTGCTCCAAATATGATTTATCTAATGTTTTGAGCGTATGTCTGCCATCTTCGGGTTATTTACAATTAAGAGGGGTGTTACTCTGCGATTCGTACAAAGTCGTTGATGTGAGTGCTTTTTTTGTCTTGTGACTTTGGCAGATCTGTCTCCAGCCCAGAAAATGTCTACTTTTTGTTTTTGATGACCCATCTTATCTAATCTTTATGAGTTTTACAGCAACTAGAAGACTGTGTCTGCTTGACAGGAGTTTTATAATTTGGCTTGACACATGCAATGTTAGATATTCGTACACGCAATTTTACAGGTTTTAGTCGGTCGCATATATATTAGGTGGGTCACAAAGTTTGTTCGCCACATTTTCAAAAAAATCATAACTTCCTTCCTTCTCGGTAGATTTCTTGAATTTAATCCTATTTAGAAGAGGAAACCTCTCTTTTTACAACAGTACCTTTGGCATGAAATAGCGCGGGAAAGTTCAAGAGTTAAAAGCGGTTGAATGACACTTTTCAAGCAGGGTCACGAAAAATTCTGAAAGTATTTTTATTTGATAGGGTAAATTGCTCATTACAGTGGTACCTTTTCATGAATTAAGACGAAGTAGATCGAGAGTTAGAATAAAGAGAATTTCTTCACTTTTGCAATTTTTGAGCATGCTCAAAAAAGCGTGAAAACGTCACAGAAAAGGCGAAAAAGTCATAAACATGGGTTTTGTGACCTTCCCTTTCTAGATGAGGGAAAATCGTGCCAATCGGGGGCAATTTTCATTTTCGCAATTTATACGGATTTTCAGGTCTGCGTTTTTCACGAAAATGAAAATTGTTCCCAATTGGCACGATTTTCGCTCAGCTAGAAAGGGAAGGTCACAAAACCCATGTTTATGACTTTTTCGCTTTTTCTGTGACGTTTTCATGCTTTCTTGAGCATGCTCAAAAATTGTAAAAGTAAAGAAATTTTCTTTATTTACTTCTAACTCTCGATCTACTTTGTTTCAATGAAAAAGGTACCACTGTAATGCACAAAGTTTACTCTATTAATAAAAATACTTCCAGAATTTTTCGTGACCCTGCTTGAAAAGTGCCGATCTTGAGCGATTTCATTCAACTGCTTTGAACTCTCGAACTTTCTCACGCTATTTCATGCCAAAGGTACTGTTGTAAAAAGAAAGGTTTCCTCTCTTAAACAGAAATAAATTCAAAAAATCCACCAAGAAGGAAGGAGGTTATGATTTTTTGAAAATCTGGCGAACAAACTTTGTGATCCATCTAATAAGACTATAAAGAAAACCTTTGGAAAATCAAGGAAACAGAAAAATTTATTCAGTTTCAGGCAAGACGAAATATAAAAATACACGGTGTGCACTTTGAATTCAGAATGCTTCTCTTTTCTCTCATCACTTTCTTCTTAACGTTGATAAAGAGCAAACTAATCAAGGCAGTACAATTTTGCAGATATAATGTTGCAGGCCTTATCAGCAAAAAGACGAGCAAAAATGGCATTCTTGACATGTGACACGAACATGATGATACTTTACCTTTATTAGTTTGAACCACTGAGGCGGGAGGGGGGGAGGGGAAGGAAAGTGATCTACATGTGATAGAAAATGTGCAAATGGCTTTATTACTTATGAACTATGGAAGTTCTTTTTTAAATTTTTCGAAATTCAAATTAGCTTTGCAAAAAAAATTTTTTTCCGATGAAGTCACACCTCCCCTCTCAACTTCGGTATTGTGTGACCGCGAAAATCTTGGTAATTGAGTGGGGGGGGGGGAAGGAAGGAGGGAAATGGGACTACTACGACAATCTTCATTTGTGACTTCAACTCTATACTTTCGTATGGCATCGATATACGATACACTGATTGGTCAGCTCAGAAAGAGTACGGTACTGAACGAAATCTGAAGATGAGCTTTTCAAAGCTTTTTAAGTGCTTGATCGAGACTTTCTAGACTACATGAAAATCCTGCAAAAGTTAACTTTTAATATTTCCACTTCTGCTATAGTAAACAAAATCCTGCAGAACCGCTGCTAATTTTGCTTCTCTTGCAAGATCCAGTGAATTGTCTGAGAATTTTTGCATCGGCACCGATTTGCACCGAATGGACAAATTTTAACAACCACCATAAAGTTGATAGGTTGTTCAACTCGATCAGCTTTCCTAAACGATTTTCTGGTTCCATCAAAATACTGTTTTTCTGAAAATAAAAAGAAATTCGGTTAAATTTTACACTGACTTTTATTTTTTGATTCATAGACAAATTTTAACCGATTCCATATTCGCGGACTCTGCCTTATACACTCACTTTTCCTCATTTCACTCGCAACCATGTTGATGTCCTGGTAGAAGTGCACGGGTTTGTTTGAGGCTATAACGCTTTCCTCAATTTCATAAAGTGAGACGATCCATAAAAGAAAAAAAGCACAAAATGAGCTCCAAAATTTATTCGAAAAAATCGAAGTGGCATCACATATAGCATCACTATTATACAAATTGTTCATCACAAAGATCAGAGAACAAGCCAAGGAGCCGAATGAGCCCAGCGACCAGGGCCTTCACATAAAAATGTCATTCTATGTACAGCTGTTGACATCTGTTGCGGACGCACGTACTTGAACCTCAATAGAAATAGGGTGTTTCAAAGTCAATTTCTTATTCTTGAAGTCTTTCGTGACTTAGTGCTGATTATAGGATGGTGTCCTAAAATTGTCAATAATATTGGATTTGAAAAAGTTCAAAACCAATATTATTGACAATTTGCCCTTGTCATTCGTTAAACCCTAAATACCATTCTCTAGAATAGTTTTTGATACCCTTGCAGTAGTCATTGTAGGTTTGCGGTAAGAGGGCCTTTGGAGAGGGTCTTGCACAATTAAAAACCGAAGTTAGCCTAAAAAGGATTCCAAAATAGCTGAGGTTGCCTCTGGCAAGGGTAGGATATTTGATAGAAGTGGTTCTTGCATATGAAACGTACAGTATCTAGAGCATTGAAAGTTGATTCCAAATATGCTTTCTTTATCTGCAAAACGCTTTTGCGAGGTGTTCTGGGAATTTTTGAGGTAAAAATTCGATGGTTTGGCTAAGGTAAAAACAGGTTTAAGGGTCATTCCGGCGTTTAAAGAGGAGGAATGACTGGTATGAGTCTATTAGAATTGAAGGTATTTTAGCATAAAACGCCCCGGTTGTAATCATGGCCATTTGAGGTCACAGTCTAAAGTTCCGAATGACTTTATTGTAGCAGCGCTTTCAAATTTTTGCACCAAAAATTTCCATAACTCCTCTCCCAATAGCGATTTGCAGATACAAGATAAATTCGGAATTAGCGTTTCATGCTCTATAAGATGTCTACATCTTATATAAAAACGTTACTTCAACCAAGTATCCATTCCTTGTGGGTAATGTGGAGTTGATGATTTCAAAAATAAGCATTGCACGTTACTGCGTGTAAAGACAGTTTCCGAAATTCTTCAAAACCCTGATCACGTTTAAAATTGCTTTGAAAATCTAGACAAAAATTATAAACTCGAATAAGCGCTATGGAAATCCCACTAATTTCCGATTGTTTCTTGATTTGCTACGGCTCTTTCTACATACTGCAAAGAACATTGAATAGAATAGTATTATGTTGAACTGAAAGTTCTGTCGCACCATTTTCAAAAAATAGTAACTCTTTCCTATCATGATGTTTTTAAATGACTAAAACGTTTTCGAAAAGAGCAATTCGTGCACTTTCCAGGGGCACCTTGGCTGCTATCTATTTAGCCCTAAATGTAGAGATAAAATTGGGAGAAGGAAATTACTTCAAATTCGGAATTTTGAGGCAAGCCCGTCGAAAAATCCAAAAGTGTGCCTTAAAATCCAAATAGCCAGTGATTTAGGTTTTCCAATCCCTAGTTTTAGATCAAGATTCGCGTTGATCGAGCTTTTTTTTCAAAAAGAGTGATGATCTTCGAGAAAAAAAGCCCCAAGAAATATGTTTCTTAAAAAAATTGAATTTTCGACATTTTTCCCAAAATCATAACTTTTAAAGAACGGCTCCGTCAACGCGATTTTTGCTCAGCTGAAAAGACGGATCAAAAGGTCTGGCTGGATACTGGATACTGGCTGTTGTGGATATCATGGTACAGGTGCTTTTTAATGGGCTCGCTTCAAAATTCCAAATTTGAAGTCGATTTCTTTTTCCAGTTTTATCTCATTTGAGCTAAGTAGATAACAGCCAAAATGCCTCTAGCAAGTGCATTAATTGTTCTTTTCAATAGGGTTTTTAGTCATGCAAAAATCCATGATAGCAAGAAGCTACGATTTTTTGAAAATGGTGCGACAGAACTTTCGGTTCAATCTAGTAGAATCGACGAAGGACTCAGAGCAGAGAGAGGTGTTTTGAATTGAACACTACAGATATTTTTTAAGCACCCTGCATAGAATCAGCGAGTCATTACAAAGTCCAAACGCTATGCCGAAAGCTATCGGCAAGTCTCAATGTCATGTAAACAAAACTCTAAACATTTCCCATCAATCCACGATCGCTGTGCTTTGTGCTCCCGAATTGCGACCAGCTGGACTGGAGGGCAATATCATTCCGATAAGACAGCGCTCGGCTGCATCTCAGTCGTTCGATTGTCGCCATGAAGTCGACCGGCTTGTGGCTTCTTCTGGCATTGTTCGCCATTCAGGTAACTGGAAAAAATTCAAAATTTATACCTACATACAGTAACCATGTATTCAGGCGTGCGCCGATGTCTACCAAGGGAGCGCAGCAGATCTTCATTATAGGTTAGTGCTTGATTTTTTCCATGATTTTCAAGTTTTTCCAAACTTTTGCAGAAAATCTTTAAAAAAACTGCATCAAACCGATTAACTTCGACTTCATCTTTATCAGCTTAAACTCCTACTCCCCTCCCCTAATTCTCGTTACTTAAGTTTCCGTCGTTGAATGTCCAGTTCCCCTTCGAAACATCATAATACCGACCGTCTTATCGCCCTTTATCAGTGCATTTATCTGCTGTCTATTTACTGATGGAAGGACAATATTCGAGAGTTTTCGGCGATGCCATAGAAAAAGCGGCTAGGACTGCACAAGAATTTGTAAGACTTTGCATAAAAAAACTGATTAGTGAGAGTCTACGAAAACCGCTAGTCAAAGAAGGATCTAGTGATATTTGAAGAATGCTAAAGTAATGAATTGCGTACGTACTGTATTCCTCCTATATATAAGAAGCTCTCAGATATTTTAGAAAACTCTACACTTGATTAAAAGTAGTCTACGATCTGCAAAGAGCAGGCTACGTTTGGTGAAGGACTATATGTCGCCGCAGCGAGCTGGTCCCACGCGGACATCTGCGACAAAGTATGCAGCTCCACACATTCTGACTGTACGATTGTACCAGCTTCCGTGCGAGGCGGAGCCTAACGGCGACACATAGTCCGCTACCCCCCCCCCCCTACATTCTAACAAATTTACTCGTTATTATTTATCCAAAAGGACGAATCGCAAACTCTTCTATCACAGCCTGACTTCATTTGTGACATATTGGGAACTCTCAGTTCTTGATGCCTCAAAGAAATTCGGTGTTGGACAGAGTTATTATTACAAACATAGTAAACCCAAGTTCTCTGAACAAATACAAGGTTTATATTTACTTTCATTAAAGATATCCATGGATGGAGATTGTGAAGACTGAGAGATTGAGTTGGTTCTGAAAACTGCCACTTACATAAAGTTACATAAGAGTTTCAAAATGTGTCTAAAGAATTCAATCTTATCTCTTCAAAAAAAAAGGAAAGTTCAAAACCTCGTGATTTAAGATAGTGATATGCTACGCCATATTTCTCCTTCTTCAGGGCCAAAAGAGCTGCAGTGGAATTGCATGATTGGCTAACAGCGGAACAGAAAGAAGTGCTTGAAGGGGTGAGTTCTTTATCAAAAAAAAAAGAATAAGTAAAGTCATGATCGTATCAAGTAATGACATATTAAGTATGTAAATTTGAGCTGCTAGTGACCAGGCATGATGTTTTCACGAGACTTTCAGCCACTAGTTCTTCAACTGAGGAGATAAATCAACAAGACTATGTCATCAAAATACAGGGTGTCCCAAAAAAATGTACTCAATGTTTGATTGTTAATAACTCTCTTGTAATAAAGTCTTTCGAGAAGCTTTAGGTACCAATTTGTAGAGCTGGCTTCAACTTAGATTTGCAGTATAGAGCCAATCATCGAACGCTCTTCATTACTATAGGATTAGGGTAGAAACTAGAATCATATGGTGTCATTGTGGAAAAAGCTGCCGTTTCAGAAGGTTTCAAAAAATGTGAAAACTTGTGTAATAGGATTTTTATGGACCCTGCGTTCAACATTCAATTAAACACAGGATTACGAAGCCTTCTAAACGGTGTAACCGCATTTTTTTGGAACATTGAAGAAGTGGCCGTTACTGCTTACCTCGCATAACTCTTCAATGAAGTATCATAATAAGTTGCGAACTTAACAATTAAAATCAGCAACTCTATTTGGCCTAGAGGAAAAGTTTCCAGGCTGTTTTGTTTCCTTTCTGAGACAAAGCTTTGAAGTTTCTATCGTAATCCTACAGTAATGGAAAAAGATGGGTGATTTGTTTTATACTACAAATTTAAGTTGAAGCTAGCTCTACAAAAAGGTATACTAAAGCTTCTTGAAAACTTCATTACAAAATAGCTATTAACAATCAAACAGTGAGTACATTTTTTTGGGACACCCTGTATATCGGATTAGTAGTCGCCAGGAATATTAGCTAGTAAAACAGCCTCGCAGCAACTGAGCGAAATTGATTGAAAAAAATTACCCTTTGAATACTAGATAATAATTTTATGCTATTCATTCCCATTTTAATAAGATCTGCTGGCATTCTAGAAATCATATAGACATTTTGTACTATCAACAATCCTTTCAGCTCAGAGATAATCCAGAGCAATTTCACGACAAGACCGTAGAATTCTATAAGCAACTACCTCAAGAAAAACGAGATGAGTGGGACAAATTCTACAAAAAAGAATGCGTCGCATGGATTAAGGAGGTAAGTCATAACTCTGAGTCCGCTGATAGTCAAGTCTTTTTTGTAAGACAAATTATTGCTGTATTCTGAATGACATTAGCTATAGCATCCACCAAGAGGAGCATTGATGCTACAGTCTCTGGGCCAATAGTAGTAATGATGCTACCGTAGTTATGAATCGACACACGGAAGCCGCCTTTTACCGTGTGAATGCTGCTGAGCAAAAATTGCTAGGATAAAATATTTTTGACGAAATTTTTTCGCACTGAGCGCATACCAATACATGTGGCTCTAACTTTAGGCTTTGTGTGTCAAAAAAAAAATTCTGATGAAATTTGGTTTTCATGGTGATCGTCTAACCCGTTGTTCATTTTTTAGGTCGCTACCGAAGAAGAGAGGAATGAATTGAAACAGCTCAAAGAGAAAAAGGATAAAGAAACTATTATGAAAAAGGTATGAGTCTATCAATAGCCAATAGTATGCACCAATAAGTAGATCGTTCCAGATCCACACCTATAGAGAACGTCTATCAGAAGACAAACGAAAAATGATTGAGAAATTTGAGGTACGGCAAAAACTTGTGACATCGATTTCCTGGAAAGTTCTGTCACTTTAGCCAGAATGTCTCAAACTCTGGAAGGACGAAGTGTCACGAAAGCGACGAGACCTCGATAAAAATTTCGATGAGTTCACAAAATGGATGACAGAAGAACAGCGGAAAACAGTAAAAATCCTTAATTAATTGATGAGTTGTCTGAGAGCTAGTACATGTGAGAACTTTTAGATTTCGGAAATGAAGGACGCTGGAAAATCTGATGATGATCTTCGCACCAAAGCTAAGGAATATTTTGAAGCTCTTCCAGCTGACAAACAAACCGAGTTAAAGGAGGAATTCAAAGGAAAGTGCAAGGTATGGAGCACGAAGTCAGCAATTAATAAAATTGGTCACCAGCTACAGTAATATAAAATGACCACTAGATTTGCATAAAATCCTGTCGAAACCACCAGTAATGTTTTAGGCATTCTTCAAGAAAATCTCAAAGCCCGAAGAGATGGAAAAGATGAAGACATTGCACGAAGCCGGTAACGATGATGAGGTTCGTACAATCGTAAAAGGCATCATTGGACGTCTTACTGGTGACGAGAAGACACTAGCTGGCAAAATGGAAGTGGTAAGCGCAGTTCTCTTTCTTGAAAAACAGAACTTTTGATAATCTGTCTCTTTTCAGCTTTGCCATGATATCTTCACTGCCAAAGCTAAGAGAAGACGAGACATTGACGAGAAAATCAACAAGAGACTATCGTGGATGACAGCAGATCAAAAGGAGGTAGGAATTGTTTTTATAGAGAGCTGGGACGCTATTAAACAGTCTCCCGATCTCGATCAGGCGCTGTTTCACGATTATGAACGAGATCAGTCACCTAATGGGGAGCTGTTAATGGCGGTAAAAAACGTACTATCAGAAACTGCGGGACTGACAAATAAAGTCCAAGAGGATAGGGTGTGGGCAAGAGCTCAAGAAGCGTACTTTAGATAGACATCAATCAACACATACTTAGAGTTTTATAACGTTTCGGAAGCATTAGCTTATAAAGAAGGTCAAGCAGATAGTCCATCGGTTTAATGTGATTATCGTGAATGAGACGGTATAAGTATTAGAGGATATTTTAGTCACTTTCCAAGTAAAACCTTTACCTGGGAACCGGTAATTTTGAAGAGCGAGTAAGCCAGAGCACATTCTTTTGCACTTTTTTGACTTGTAAAGCTCTCAGTTGAACTAAATTGATGGCTAGAAAATCGCTGCTGTTGACCATGCTCTCCCAGCGAAGAAGAGAGAGAGAGAGAGAGAGTGAAAAGGGAGTTGGGTGAGGTGTGCAAATTTCCAGAAGACAAGTAAAATATTCAGCTTTAATTGAAGGTTTCTCAGTCTGTGACTGTATAGGTTCGTGTGGAATGTGTGCCTATAAGTTACTTGCCTCCCAAAACACCGTTAGTGCAAAAATTTCGCAATACATGACCTCAAGGGCCTTATACATAAAAGGGCTATCTATTAGTCTTGAAGTGTGTGCATGTTTTTCCTCCGAGAAACTTGTAGAAAAAATCCTCCTGGCTCAAGAAGCATGTGACCTTAGCTCATTTTAGCAAATCAAGAACATGCACGCGTCCGGAAAGTCACATGCTGATATTCGAGCTAAAATCTTTGAGTTTCTTAGCGAACTGGAAGGACCGGCAGGCATCGCTGCCAGAGAACAAACCCAGAAAGTCAGAAGAAGTTTGCTGGTCTGACGCTTTTCTAAAAATAATACCAAAATTCTAGGAATGTTACAAGTGGATGAACGATGTGGCTACCGAAGAAGAAATTGCTGCTTTGCATGAAATGCATGAACGGGACCATGATGGTTGTAAGAAGAGAGTCAGGGAGTTTATTGCGCGACTGCCTGATGAGAGAAGGGTTTGTTGGGAACATCTTGTCTTGATACTCAATGATTGCTTTGCTTATAGGCTGAAGTTGAGAAAAATCTTCCCTTCTGCGAAAAAGTTTGGTACGGTGACCACGATCATCATGGTGGTCATGACCACCATCATGGACACCACCGTCGCCAGATTGCTGTGAGAAGACGTCGTCACCTGAAGGCCATCGATAAGTACCTGGACTGGCTGACCCCAGAACAGAAAAACACGCTTGTGGTTGGTTCCACCTTGAAGTTGCTTTTCTTTCTCATAATTTTCTCTTTTAGGACATTGAGAAGAGTGGAGCAGAATTTGACAGTGTCATTGCAAAAGTGAAGGAGTTCTACGGTAAACTTGGTGAAGAGAAGAAAGCGGAACTCAAGGCGAACTTCAAGGTAAACAAATAATAGCCGTAGAAAATCGAAAAAATATTCAACTAATTTGCAGTCACAATGCTCTGCGTGGGTGAAAGAAGTGGCGACTCCGGAAGAGATGGAAAAGATCAAAGAAATGCACAAAAATAAGGATCATGCCGAGCTCAAGAAGAAATTGGCAGAGTTGGAGAACAGGTTGACGGAAGAACAGAAACACACCGTCGAGCACGTTCGAGAAGTATGTCTTGGTGTGTGGGAAATTCAGGTAAGTAAAATTAACGATAAAGCAGTCATAAAACTAAACGCTATCATTTATAGAATAGCCGCAGAAGAAGAGGTCAGGAATACTTTACCCTAGAAAAAATTCTTGACAACTACCTTACATGGCTGACTGATGCTCAAAAGGAGGAGCTGAAATCTCTCAAAGCTGCAGGAAACAAAGACAAGATTTATGACAAAGTTCTTTCCTACTTAGACAACGCTTCAGGAGAACAAAGAAAGAAGGCTATCGAAGATTTGCAGAGCGGATGCAAACACTACATTAGAAATATTGTTGGTGACGAAAAGGCCGATGAATTCAAGCAAATGAAGGAAAGCGGTGTTTCACCGGATGAAATTGCAAAGAAAATCGAGGTGCTTGTCGATGGACTCACGAATGAGGAGGTAAAAGCACAAGCGAAGAAAGCTGCACCAGTTTGCAAAGCAGTCTATTCTGCTGCTAAACGCTTTAGAAGGGAACATCATGAACACAAGTTGGACGAGGAGATGAAGAAGTACCTAACGTGGCTTTCAGCGGATCAAATGCACAAACTGGAGGAGAAATTTGAGAAGGAAGGTAGAGAACCTGGTTACAATCTGGTCATGGAGATGTTTGAAGCTTCCAGTGGTGAAACTAAAGCAAAGGCGACGGAAGAATTGAAATCCGCATGCAAGCACTTTGGAAGAAAACTGTTAGGAGACAAGAATGCTGACATTATCAAGGAGATGAAGGATAGTGGAGCCACAAATGAGGCGATAACGAAGAGGGTAGAGGAGATGATTGCCGAGATTTCTGATCCCGTCAAAAAGGAACGAGCCGAGAAAATGACTGCAGGATGCAAAAAGATCTACGCTCACTCTAGAAGACGGCGTGGCCAGGAACTATACACCTTGGAGAAGGTGCTCGAAAATTATCTGACGTGGTTAAATGAAGACCAGAAAGCAGAACTGAAGAAGTTGAAGGAAGCAGGCAACAAAGACGAGATCTACAAAAAGATTGTTGCATTCTTGGACGCAGCTTCAGGAGATCAGAAGAAGAAGGCTATAGAGGACGTACAAACTGGATGCAAGCACTACATCAGAAACATCGTTGGTGACGAGAAAGCCGATGAGTTCAAGCAGATGCGGGAAAGCGGCGTATCTCCAGATGAAATTAGCAAAAAGATTGATGCCCTGGTAGAGGAACTGACCAATGAGGAAGTAAAAACGCAGGCGAAAAAGGCTAAAGTTATATGCCTGGCTGCATTCACAGCACCAAAGCGTTTTAGACGAGGACAGGAACTGTATACTTTGGAAAAAGTGTTGGACAATTATCTTACTTGGCTGACAGACGCACAGAAGGAAGAGCTGAAATCGCTAAAAGCTGCAGGGAACAAGGACCAAATTTACGACAAAGTTTTGTCTTATATCGATGCTGCTTCCGGAGAACAAAAGAAAAAAGCTATCGAAGATGTGCAAAATGGCTGCAGACATTACATTAGGAACATAGTTGGTGACGAGAAAGCCGATGAGTTTAAGCAAATGAGAGAAAGCGGAGTGTCAGATGACGAAATTGCTAAGAAGATTGAAGCGCTTGTTGAAGGTCTCGACAATGCAGAAGTGAAAGCCCAAGCTAAAAAGGCGGCACCCGTCTGTAAAGCAGCTTTCTCCGCTCCGAAACGCCTCAGAAGAGGACAGGAACTCTACACATTAGAGAAGGTTCTTGATAATTACCTGACGTGGTTGAACGAGGATCAGAAAGCAGAATTGAAGAGACTGAAGGAAGCAGGAAATAAAGACGAGATTTACAAGAAGATCGTTTCATTCTTAGACGCAGCTTCAGGAGATCAGAAAAAGAAGGCAATCGAGGATGTACAGACAGGATGCAGGCACTATATCAGGAATATTGTGGGCGATGAGAAAGCAGATGAGTTCAAGCAAATGAGGGAGAGTGGTGTTTCGCCTGATGAGATTGGCAAGAAAATTGAGGCACTAGTGGATGGACTAACCAACGAGGAAGTCAAAGCACAAGCTAAGAAGGCCAAAATCATCTGCCTAGCAGCTTTCTCCGCTCCGAAACGACGCAGAAGAGGACAGGAACTTTATACCTTAGAGAAGGTCCTTGATAATTACCTGACGTGGTTGAACGAGGATCAGAAAGCAGAATTGAAGAAACTGAAGGAAGCAGGCAACAAGGACGAGATCTACAAGAAGATCGTTTCATTCTTAGACACAGCTTCAGGAGATCAGAAAAAGAAGGCAATCGAAGATGTACAGACAGGATGCAGGCACTATATCAGGAATATTGTGGGCGATGAGAAAGCTGATGAATTCAAGCAAATGAGGGAGAGTGGTGTTTCTCCTGATGAGATTGGCAAGAAAATTGAGGCACTAGTGGATGGACTAACCAATGAAGAAGTGAAAGCACAAGCCAAGAAGGCCAAAATCATCTGCCTAGCAGCTTTCTCCGCTCCGAAACGACGCAGAAGAGGACAGGAACTCTATACCTTAGAGAAGGTCCTTGATAATTACCTGACGTGGTTGAACGAGGATCAGAAAGCAGAACTGAAGAAACTGAAGGAAGCAGGCAACAAGGACGAAATCTACAAAAAGATCGTATCATTCTTAGACGCAGCTTCAGGAGATCAGAAGAAGAAGGCAATCGAAGATGTACAGACAGGATGCAAGCACTACATCAGAAATATTGTTGGCGATGAGAAAGCTGATGAATTCAAGCAGATGAGAGAAAGTGGTGTTTCGCCCGATGAGATTGGCAAGAAGATTGAGGCACTAGTGGAAGGACTAACCAACGAGGAAGTCAAAGCACAAGCCAAGAAGGCCAAAATCATCTGCCTAGCAGCTTTCTCCGCTCCGAAACGACGCAGAAGAGGACAGGAACTCTATACCTTAGAGAAGGTCCTTGATAATTACCTGACGTGGTTGAACGAGGATCAGAAAGCAGAGTTGAAGAAACTGAAGGAAGCAGGCAACAAGGACGAAATCTACAAAAAGATCGTATCATTCTTAGACGCAGCTTCAGGAGATCAGAAGAAGAAGGCAATCGAAGATGTACAGACAGGATGCAAGCACTACATCCGAAATATTGTTGGCGATGAGAAAGCTGATGAATTCAAGCAGATGAGAGAGAGTGGTGTTTCGCCCGATGAGATTGGCAAGAAGATTGAGGCACTAGTGGAAGGACTAACCAACGAGGAAGTCAAAGCGCAAGCTAAGAAGGCCAAGATCATCTGCCTAGCAGCTTTCACAGCACCAAAACGATTCAGAAGGGAACATCATCAGCATACCTTTGCGGAAGCAATGGAGAACTACCTCAGCTGGCTCAGTGATGACCAGAAAATAGAGATGAAACAGTTACATGAAGCTGGAGACAAGGGCGCTCTATATGAAAAGGTCATGGAAATGTTCGATGCTGCTACAGGAGAGACGAAAGAAGAAGCTGCTTCCAAATTGAAGGACGCTTGCAGGCATTATGTCAAGGATTTGATCGGCAATGTAAATGCAGATAGGATTCATGCATTAAAGGAAAGTGGTGCGACAAATGACGAGATTGCCACTAGGGTTGAGGAAATCATAGAGGAAATAAGCGATGACGAAAAGAAGGAGCACGCTCTGAAAGCTTCCAAATACTGCAAGAGAATTTATAATGTGGCGCGTCGAATGAGGCGAGATGAACATGAACATGATGTTGAAGAAGCTCTGGAGAAATTCCTGACATGGTTGAGCGCAGATCAAAAGGACGAAGTTAAGAAATTGTACGAAAGCGGAAAACGTGATGAAATTTATGGAAAGGTCATGGAGTATTATAATCAAGCGGATAAAGATGTGAAGGAAAAGGCTACGTCAGAACTCAAGGACGCTTGCAGACACTATATAGGAGAAGCCATTGGCAAGGAAAATAAGGAAAAGGTTGAGAAAATGAAGGACAGTGGAGCTACAAAAGAAGAAATTTCCGCGAAAGTGGAGGAATTCATCAGCGCCATTGCTGATGAGAAGAAGAGAGCGCATGCCGAACGTGCTCACAAAGGATGTAAGAAAATTTACGGGGTAATTCAGCGTAAGAGAAGAGACGAGCACGAACATCATCATGATCTGGAAGAAGCGCTGAAAAAGTATCTTACCTGGATGAGTGAGGATCAAAAAGCTGAGGTGAAGAAAACGCTAAAGGGAGGAGATCGTTTGGCAGCTTATAAGAAAATGATGGAGTATTTCGAGGGTACCACCGGTGAGACTAAGCAAAAGGCAGCTACGGAGCTTAAGGCTGCTTGCAAGCATTATATCAAGGAGTTGATTGGTGAGGAAAAATCAGCCAAGATAAAACACATGAAAGAAAGTGGGGCCACAAATGAAGCCATAGCCCAGGAATTGGATGCGATCATTTCGCTGATTCCAAATGAGAAGAAGCGAGTTCAAGCTCAGCATGCTGCTGCCGATTGCAAGAAGATCTTCAACGTCGCAAAGAAATTAAGAAGAGAAGTGCATGAGCCCACTTTGGAGGAAGGTTTCCAGAAATACCTTACATGGTTGAGTGACGGCCAGAAAGACGAGTTGAGAAAGCTTGAAGCAAACAAGGATCGCGAAGGAATCTTTAAGAAAATCATGGAATACTTTGAAGGAGCTACTGGCGAGGTCAAGAGCAAAGCTACCGAGGAACTTAAAGAAGGCTGCAAACATCACATTACCACCTTAATTGGAAAAGAAAAAGCGGATGAGTTGAAGAAACTGAAAGATACGGGAGTAACCGACGCAGAAATGGCGAAAAAAGTTGACGAAGTTATAGAAACAATCACAGATGAAGAGATCAAAGCAAAGGCGAAGAAAGCAGCAGCCGGTTGTCATAAAATTTTCGGCGTCACTAAAGCGCGACGTCATCTTGCCGCAAGACGCTTCCGAAAATCCTACAAATCTTATCTCAGTTCTGGATTATTCTTCTAATTGAATAAGCACAACAATTCACGTGTCTGTATTGTTGGAGTAGCAATGTTTGTAGTTCTTTATTGTGTTCACTTTTGAGTAGTGACCTGTCTGTTTAGCTCAGTGCAATGATTTTCTCGCAATAAATAAATTTTATAACAAAGAAATCATTCTAGAAAAAGGTAGTGATTTACCGTTAGAAGAGGATTTACGGGAAATGAGAAGACGATACCCTGCATTCTGAAACTAACAATAAGAGACTCAAATCGCTTTGCCCACATTGTCAAGACATGTTTGGATGTTACAAGTTTATACTTGTAAACTATCTCATGCAAAGTTATTTACTGCTTAAAACCAGAAAGACAAGTTTAGACTTGTTCAGACAATGTACGCAAAGCGTTTTCGAGTCCCTTAGTCTGCACATAGATGATACCCAGGGTAAAGCGGGGGGTGCGGCACACGACCGTCGGATACGACCCCCCCCCCTTGGGCCGGACCCCGGCACGACCCCCCTCCCCCCATTCCCTACCCCCCTCCCTCCCGGCAAATCACCCGGCAGGGGATTGTGTACTAGATTCAAAACCATGCTACTTCCAGTCTAATTTTTTGCCATGGAACATATGTTTGGGTAAACTACTTGCGAAGCTCTTTACGTTTGCGCTCTAAATACATTACTTGATCCTGTATGTATCTTGACTTTCTTACGCTGAGCTTCATACTAAACGTATTTGTGTTTTGTAAGGACTAGCTCAGCCTGAAACAGACTAAAATGAACGGTGTACGGTGCTATCGCCGGCGCGTATATTGTATACAACGGTCGTTATGCCAACTGCACTATAAGTTATAGCTTTCCTCATATTTTGATAAAAACATGTACAAAAATGAATCGTACACCGTTCATTTTAGTCTGTTTCAGGCTGAGCTAGTCTTTACAAAACACAAATATGTTTAGTATGAAGCTCAGCGTAAGAAAGTCAAGATACATACAGGATCAACTAATGTATTAGAGCGCAAACATAAGGAGCTTCGCATAGAACCTCGCACAGAGCTGCAAAAAAAAAGAAAAATTGAAAGTTGAAAAGAGTAGTAAAAAGTAGAAAATTGACAAAGGGAAAAATCTACGTAGGAAAGACAAAGTTTTTGCCCACCTGTTGCCGGCTAAGATATCCAAAAATCGATGATTTTCACATTCTCAAGATCCGTGACAAATAAGTACCTGCATGGAGGAGGACGGCTCAGTAGTTCCATAGATGTCATTTTAAGAGATCGCAGATTGGGAAATGCTACATTTCGTTGGTCCAAAAGCGCGTTTGTTTCATCGGAAATGCCCTGGAAAATTGTTAAGATAAGCGCACCATCCCTAAATGGCAGCAATCATCAAAGAGAATGAAACGAAAACAAACACGGAAGCAAGAACAACTCAAAAATGGTCGCATTAACAGTACAAAGCATTCAAATTATCCACTTTGCCGCGTCCCTGCAACTTACGTACCGGACCAGAGCCGGCGTCTTACCGTAACCCATATTTTTTTCGCCTTGTTTCGAAGTGAATGTAATGGGAAAAGGCTCCATAAATTCTTTCGAAAGAAACGATCTCGAATGAAATTTTTGCTTCAAAGAGGAGAAGGTTCACTAATTGCACGGATGTAGATAGCGTTCATGTTTAACCTCTTTGAAGGTGACTTAATGGCCTGCGGCACCCCCCCTCAAAACCTGCGGCAGCCGCAGGTTTTGAGGGGGGGGGGGGGGTGCCGCAGGCCATTAACTATATCAAAAAAACATTTTTAGCGGGCAATATTTATATGAATCAATGGCCTAAACCTCGTAGATTTCATAGGGATGTTTTGAGCCTGATTCGTCTTCTTAGCTCTGAGTAATATTTGGTGAAAGCACAGCGATCAAAAGTTAAAAGCGATTTTGGTTGGCTTCTAATTCAATAGTTTGGAGGTCTTCTGAAGCGGGATTCCTGAGGTGGACAAAGAAGGAGTAGTGCTTTGTATTGAGTGCAAGAAGAGGTAGCTTACTCACCGTTAGGATAAAGTTAATCATGTTTTAAATTGCTGCTTTATACAAGGTTGTTTACTGCTCGGAGACCTCAGAGTTCGCTGAAACTTGGCGCATAGGGGTTATTCGACACGCGGATTACGACATTTATGCTTGATTAGAGGTACGGTAGGTTACGGTAGGCATACGGTATCTGCAAGTTTGTGTCGTTGAACTTGAATTTTGCAGGATTTCAACAGCGCTTTCATCAAGTCAATTTAGTCACACAGCTTGTACAAGTGCTTTTGACCTTGGGTCGATACGACCCCCCCTACCTACCCCCCCCCTTACGACCCCCCCTGCGGCGTGCCGCACCCCCCGCTTTACCCTGATGATACCTATTTTTTGCCCGTTAGACGAAATTCTAACCAGCCTGAATATTTACTGATCGACCAGAGTACGGCTTGAGCAACGAAAGATATGCTCGAGTCATTTGTAACTTAATATGCGTATTGCACACCATACGCGCTATTTGAAGAACATAGAAGATTGGTAACTGCTCATTTCAGCAACTTCGCCTTGTTTCTTTGCCCCTTTTGGTTTGAAAGGATTTTAATTAGTCGGTAGTATACACTTTTACACTTTATTATGCTAGCAAAGATTTGATCGAGAAGTTAATATAAAGGGTGCCGTCCGTTGAAACGCTTAGTGTGCATGCTCACATATTAAGTTACGATTGACTCGACGATAAAATGTTTCAGAAAAATGCTATAACTTTCTGTGTATCATAAGAATCAATTTTCAAGTAAGTATAGGGTTGTAAAGAAAGTCCTGATTCTTTTCAAAATTACCAAAAATGGATGCGAATGCAAAGGGACGGTTTGAGATTTTTTCTTAGTGTGCGATGGCCCCAGCTACCCAATACATTCAGCTCAGGAAAATGACGATCAACTTGAAAGAAATGCCCAAAAGGCGAAAAGCCGTTGCGAAAAGGCACATTTTTCAGATTATGAACGCTCAGAACTTCCAAAAGCTTGATTTGAAAACCCGTTTTTATACCCTGTATACTGGCTAAACGAAGCGATATCCGACTATTACTGCCCCGGTACCATGACCTTTTTGCAAACAGAAATAACTCATTGAATTCAAGGGTCGAAAAATCGAATTCTCCACCAGTTTCAAAAGCAGCCAGCGCACTTCTTGGAAAAGATCTCCATGACATACATATTCAGTAGTTTAAGGATTTTTCAATACACATGACCAAAGTTTCGCTAATGGACTCATGAGGAAGATATAAATAAAATAGCTCAACGTCTATTGGCAGAACTTTCTTTACAACCTAGAATTAGATACGTAAAAATGCATGAAATCTGACTTCAAGAAACTGTGATGCCGACAGCGTGACCAAGCGGTGTGTCCCGCAATGACTACCACTTGGCACAGTATGACCTACTTGGTAGGTCATGAACTGAATTCTCTTGGAGTGGCAGCTAATCTGACAATTAGATGGATTCATCTTGGATGTTTTCTCATGCGCTGGATCTAATGATTTTACATGTTTTTCGGCGATCTCTTAGAGCGTAGGTGTATTACAGATGAGAGTTTGCGTAACAATCTTATCGGCTGTGTAAATCAAGCACCACTTCATTGTGCAAAGTTTTTTTGACTGTTTAAAGTGTTTAAAGCTAATGAAGTTTTTGAAAGTCTTACAAGAATTAGTTTCCAACTTTTTTTCCAATGTACCTTCGGTAACAAAAAAAAGGTTTTCAGACTTGATAGAAGCCGCGCATCCACTCACGGTCGAAATGCATTTCATTTTCTGAAAAACATCATCTGATAAGATGAAAGAGCTCACAGCTATCATCAAGAATGAAAAAGGAAAAGGCAAAGGTACACTTGCGTGGAAGTAAGGAAGTCCAGCAGGCTAGCATTAGCATGTTAGCACAAACAAAAGATGTTGAGGTTTGCCCGCAATGCCAGAAAAAGACAGAATAAATCAAGATTTTGATGAAAGCACAGATAAATTTTCTTTGTAAAAAAGTTTACTCAGCATTGTGGCTCGCAGCTTTTCCATTTATTAACTTCTGAACCTATTTCTTTGAGAATAATTCTTGCTACCTCCACTGATAATGCAACTAAACCGCAGTTATCGAAATGTTCGCGAACGAGAAGACTTTTGGAAGTTGCAAAAGTACTACATTAAAAAAATTAGTTTGGTTTAGGATCTGACCAGCTACGATTAATCAAGGTTCAACTATCTTAGCTTTCAATTCAATATTATGTAGCAGAAGATGGACAAAAATAAATGGTGATTTTTTTTGAAAAAGTAAAAACCTATACTCGCCTCGATAAGCTTAGCCATGGGCTAGAGCCTATAACCAGTACGGGAAAACGCCTGCACTATCAATCTCACTACAAATATTTTGGTAACAAGAAACCAGTTTGCGATCACTTCATAACAACATGTTACGATAAATTCCGAGTAATATGCCCTTCTCCAGTCCTACTGCAGTGTGTGAGTTTTAATTTTTTTCAAAAAAAATTGATATTTCGAGTTGTAACGATAGTTGTTTTTTCCCTTTTGTGGATTATTAGTTTTTTTTTCCAGATTTACTTATTTTGGTTCTAGTTGACTAACAGTTAAAGGTCAAAATAAGAATATCTGTGTTTTCATTTTTAAATTTTTTTTATTGCTAGTGACACTAATGTTTGTGTATTTTGAAGCGTGAGCAGTCGTACTAGTCCTGGCTTTACTACAAGGACAACGAAAATAATATTTATTGACATTTAAGATGTTTTACTAATGCTTATCTATGTGATACCGATTTTATAGGCCTTTACACACTTCCAGATTTTCGATCAAATCACACATTTTCTTGAGAAGGTTCAGCTTAGGTCAAGTTTTTCTTGATTAGAGTATTCTTACCTTCTTTTTACACTAAGAAAAATTGTTTTTGATATTATCAATGCACTGCGCAAAACTAAGACTCATATTTGCCCCATTCATGGGCTAAACTTTGATTATTTTTTTGCATTCAGAGTATTTGGCGGCATTATACAGGGTGTCCCAAAAAATGTATCGAACGTTTGATCGTTAATATCTCTCTTCCCAAGAAGTCTTTTGCCTTGCTCCAAGTACCGTTTTGTAGAGCTGGCTTCAACTTAGATTTGCATTATAGAACGAATCACCCATCTTTCTTCATTACTGTAGGATTACGGTAGAAACTTGAAACATATGGTGTCAATGTGGAAAAAGCTGCCGTTTCAAAATTTTTCAAAAAATTGTGAAAACTTGTGTAATAAGGTTTTTATAAACGCTGAGTTCAATACTCAACTATTCACAAGATTACGAAGCTTTCTAGGCGGTGTAATCGCACTTTTTAGGAACATTGAAAGAATGGCCGCTACCTCTTACCTGGCATAACCTTCAATGAAGCATCATAATAAATTGGGAACTTTACAGTTATAACCAGCAACTCTAATTAGCCTAATGTAAAAGTTTTCAGGCTGTTTTGTTTCCTTTCTGGGGCAAAATATGGCCTTTCATTGCTTAAAACCCTCTTTGAAATTTCTACCGTAATCTTACAGTAATGAAGAGAGATATGTGATTCGTTCTATAATGCAAATCTAAGTTGAAGCCAGCTCTACAGATTGGTACCTGAAGCAAGAGAAAAGATTTCTTTAGAAGAGAGATATTAACGATCAAATGTTCGATACATTTTTTTGGGACACCATGTATTTCTACAAAATAGTCAAATGTGAGGGAGGATTTCTCTCCAAACCCTGTGATAAGCGCAGATAATATGGTAAATCTAGAATATGATACTCCTTATCAGCGCAGTCAAATTTTGAGGTAAAAATAAACGTTATCATTTTTGCCATATTGCCCGTTTGTAATTCTGTTTCATTTTTTGCTTTCAAAAATCGCAAAAAAAAGGGTAAATTTTCGCTCTTAAATATATAAATATGGAAAAGTGAGAGAAGTGGAGGAATCAAAGGGTGTAAGTGAAGCAAAAGTAGATCTCGATTTCGCATATTGTAGCCACTATCTACTGCAGAGTGTAAAATTTGCACTCACGGAAGTAGAAATACGAAGTTGTATGTGGATAAGTATCCAAGACAATGGCGGGAGGGCAAAAATGTCATACTTTTGCTCCCCAACTCCTCCTCCTACTCCCCTCTCAATCACTCTCTCAACTCAGATTCAAGCTTCCTTTGGAGGCACGTCGAGCGAGAACTACTTTCTTAGAAAAATCGCTTACCTGGGGTTATTCGCAACGCTGAATGCGAAAATCCACATATGAATTTGCGAAAGAAAACGGCAAGAACATGCGTTCTTAAGGCCTCACAATTTGAAATTGGGCGGTTATAGCTGAGGCGCAGAGTCACTGCGGGACCTACGACTTTGACGGTATCGCATGCGTACGCTGCCTCATAGCAGGAATTCAAACAACCCGCCCCCTGGGGATAAGGTTTACCAGCTTTCCGAGCATATTTATCGGTTGTGGTCAAGCGTCATGGCCTCGCGCTTGCGCGATGGCGTGTCCGAGAAGCCCCACTTTCGCATAGCACTAAAACCCAAAATTCGCACCTTGTCCGGGCACTGCCTTCAAGCAAAATGAGCCCATACTCCCCTTAAGGGCCGGGCATACTTCATGCGATTTCAGTCGCGACGCGATTTGGCAATATTCCAACTGTCCATAACTCATTGCAAGCACATTTTAATTGCACAGAAGATAGGGCATTTTTATGAATTCGCGTAAGTTATACACACTATGCATGTGCAGTTTGCTAGTGTAGGATCTGGAGACTCCTGGCGAATTGCCAAATCGCGTGTCACGACTCAAATCGCGTGGTAGGCCCTTTGAGCGTCCTGTTGGTTTTTCTTAGAAGCACCTCATAAAGAACTTGATGAGTCATGCGGAAAAGCAAATTTTTTCAGTATGAGACGTCTATTAAGATTACACAATCAACAAGCATATGCTTGAAATTTCCGGCTGCTCGGTGCGTTTTTCGTCGTGTCCATCAGTGATGGGTGATTTATTACCACTACGGCCATTGATTCCACTATCGCTTGAGTCATGATGTTACGGCACGACACCACATCTCTTTGAAACGATCGTCAACTGAATGATTACACGCTATAACATTTTCTCTCCATGTTTTTCATGTTTTTTGTGCGTCGAATTTTTTCTTTTTATAACACCAGAGTTCTGAACTGACAAGGAAATGTACATGAGTCCAAGTGGAGTTTTCTAATGAGGTGCAGATCATTCGAAAGGTCTTTTAGTACGCTTTCAAAACATTCTTCTCAATCTGCTTATTGGTTTACTTAACAAAGAGCATTTTTCTGCTTCCAAATTACGTAGTCAAGGATCATCTAAATAACCTAATTCGTAGTAAATGCGCATAGATGCAGGAATCTTGAGATATAGTCTCTATCATGTGAAGGCGTAAAACTTTGCAATGAACGAAAATATACGAAAGTGGAGGCATATATAATAAACCGAAGGAAACGCTCTTTCAAAACCGTGAAAGGTTGTTATTTTGGCTCCACTTCAAAAAACAGCGTTTGAAAGGAGAGGTAAGAAATACTTGCAACTAATATGAATCAACCTAATATTCAATGCACATAAAAAATTCGACGGTAATGATTTTAAAGCTTCTCTGCTACCTTAGTCCTGCAACACGCGACAAAATTCATTGCCATTTAAGCTCAAACAAATGCTTGTAACTTTGTTCAGTGAATCAATCAGCAGATAAGGTACACATGTTCGTAATCAGCATTTCATGGCGGTCATGTATACACCTTGTTGGGTTAGGCCACCGCGAGCCAAATCCCCTTCGATTAATTGGATTGGGGGCTGGAAGGCGAGGCTTCGTGACCTAGTTAAGGCTAGGTAATGATCGGAGAGCACGCCCGCGGGAGAGATGCAGATTACGTCGCGCGAGCCGCCATAATTAGGTCATAAATCCCCGCCTTCCAGCCGCCAAGCCAGCTGAATCAAAGGTTACCTTCCCTATTGATCTATAATTAATCAAACCAAATCATCTTCATTGCTCTTTCGCGCATCTATCTCTAGTCACGAGAGGACTGTCTCAAGATCAAATATTCCAGGCTAAGATGAAATCTGTCCTGATGACGTTGCTAGTATTGTTTTCTGTTTCTCAAGGTGTTTGCGAGGTAAGATGCTTCCTGGAAAGGTCCAAAAGTCAACATTCCTATGAGCCCTTTTGATTTTATTTGTTCCTTTAACCTACAGACTGGCAGTGGAAAGGGGTGAGGAAAGGAGGGAAGGAATGAAAAGTGAGAGAACCAGCTATTACATGATTTTGATGGTCAAAATACTGTTCGTATGTCTCCCACATAAATCTTAACTGTGCGACTAAACTTCATTCAAACTCATTTGACGTTTGAATAGCAGCTGCTACTAATAGTGCTAATACTGGAAAATTTGACCTGCTGCACAAATTTTCTATTTGTACTTGAATCTCTACTAACTCGAACCTGTCTCATCTAACATCAAGTGCCATGAGCTATGATTGTCAAAATGATCGAATGGAACAGGACAGGCTGACAACTTCATGTAGGTATTAAGACATTAAGCTGTTTCCCGAAAAATGCAATTAGACCCGAAAAGAAAAAGTTCATAACTTTTGATTGGATTTACTAATCAATTTCAACAAATATTAGGTTGTAGGTTAATTTTCTTTACACTTTTTAATGTGATTCTCAAAAATTTTGGGAGCTTTGGAAAGATCTCATGTTCGCGACATATGGGTAGAGTCGAAAGGCCTATTCATCGGTACCGTCGCATCCGCGATCTGTGCGCAAAACATCCACTTTGTGGCTGATAATCAGTTTTGTTCCCATTTTTGTAAATGGGCTAGCATTTTTTCAGGTGGTGAGCCATAAATCAGGTATTTAGAAAGGGCGTAGCCTTAGCGTTTAACAAATATGGGGGGGGGGAGGGTGACACAGGCATGTTTTTCACACGTTTTTCTGAGCGGTTCAAATGTTAGTGTGCCATCCTTGCAATCATCGACATTCTAACAAAGAAAACGTCTTCAAAAAATTTCGAAAAATTATTTTTGAGTTTTCTGCATTCATTTCTACATGCTGCACATAAAGAGAAAAAAATTGGAAAGTTTTTGAATTTTTTATACTCTTTTCACTTCTCGTTTTTGAAACGCCAACAGCACCGGAATGCCTTTATGTAAGAGACAATACCGAAGCACAGAGTGCAGAGAAAAAATCACACAAAAATTGAAAATTTGAGTGCTTTTGCAAAACTGTCGTAAGCTTGTTGGTCATTAGTGCACTTGCGGCATCGATCATGCTAGTGGGTAGACTCTGGCTATGTCTTAAAGGCAGTGTCCCGGCAGATTCGCGCCTTGGGGGATATTGCTATGGTGGGATTTCTGGTCATCCCACTGACTTCCGCGCAGTTCGGCTGGTTGATGTTCCCCCTGGACCGAGAAAATAGCCCTTAAACCGGCGTGCGCAACCCCAATCGGCGCGCGCTCGGACGACTTCGCTTACCGCTCGGCGCGGGACCCCGACCGCTCTCCCGCATTGTGCAAGCTATCCAAAGCAGAAATTACAGGCAGCAGGGCTTCGTGCCACTCCTCCCAACTTCCCTTTGAAATTCTCGTCCGAGCTGCCTTTTGAAAGTTGGGTAAATGAACCGGAAAAGGTCTTTTCACCCGTTTCAAAGCTCAAATCCGGGGTCTACGGGTCAAAAAGGCCCAAAACATGCAAAAAGAGGGAAATGCAAAATTTGCCGGGACACTGCCTTCAAGCATGTCGCAAATCTGGGGTTTTCAGGAATCCTCTATTTTCTCAGAAAATTCAGAAGAAAGGTTAATAGAAATTATCCGACAACTTAATATAATGAGAGTTAAAGGATCAGTAATATAATTCCACTGAATCTCCTTTATATCCCAACAAAAGGAGCCAAATTCTGTTATTGTCGTCATGTTTTTGTCAGTGACATAATCTTGTAAAAGTATAAAAGAAACGGCCCGCTTAAATTAAGATTGTCAATTTGCCAGGAACAAAGTATGTATCTACTATATTCATAGGTGTAAGTATTTCGACTGATATGTATAGAAATGATTTGTGAGCCTGCACACTAAGCGCCGCAACTAACGACCCCCTCAGTAACTCAGTAGAACATTTTCTAGCGTAACAACTGAAGAAATATGCACTGACTAATATCCATCAAACCGAAATAGACATGAAAACAAGAAGAATCACAGGTACAAGTCGTCAATTAGCGAGCATGGCAGGATGTGCGCATAAAAAGTCAAAAATGACTTGAAGATACTTCCGTTAAAGAATTTTTTCCAACTGTTTGAAGTGCTGTCCATTTTTCCTGGTACTTGCCTTCTGGTATCCTAATTTTTCTATCAAAATGTTTATTCATAGGCCTTTTTGAAAAGGTTCCAAAGAAAGCCATAGGGGTCATAAGACCATAGATGCCGAGACCCCGAATTGCACATATCATACAATTTTCTAATAGAAATTGTTCTGATAAACTGAGAGAATTTCCGGCCTTCATTTTGGCGGTTGAATCATCAGATAAGAACGTGCTCATGGGTAAATCTATGAACGAAGGAGAAATTTAATTTCTGTTTTTATGTCTCACAAAGGCACTTTCCCACATGGTCAGTTTTACAAATGTGTTAACATCGAAAAAAGCAAAAAAAAATATGAGACGTTTTTAAAGCTTAGGCTTCCATTCCCCAGTTTTCATTCCCTCGTCATCCACTTGCACTCTTTCTCGCATCTACAAAACCTCTGCTTCAACTGGATTGGCAGCTGAGAGGCTGGACTTTGTGACCTAATTAAGGCCGCTCGCGCTCGCGACGCAGTCGGCGTATCTCTTGCGATTGTGTTTTCTGATCTCTATCCTTAACTAGGTCACGAAGCTCCGCCTTCTAGCCGCCAATCCATTTGAATCAGAGGTACTCAACCCCACGCCTTCGTTCTCCTTGCAACATCAGCGGATCATTACTATTTAGTAATCTCTCGCATCCCCCAGTTAATGAAATAAAATATAGTTCAAACAGTGTGAAAAAATTAGGAAAAAATAAAAACGTTGGGTATAGTTAGATACCAATCTATGTATCATGTTAACGATGACATTCGGCTAACTGTGATGAATTCTAGCGTATAATAAAATGAACTCATTTCCGTTGACTCTATTGTATGGAATTCTCATAATGGTTTCATCTTTCCAGAAAAAAAATTTCTATTAAAGAAAATGCGAGATATTTCTGCACCTCTCCGAATATAATTTGAAACTTACTAATTTCCGCAGAAATGTCGCTTTTTATTTGGAAACATCCACGAAAACATTTCTTATTCATGTATGTGATTCATCTACTGCATGTTTCAAAACGTTGAACATGGGCTGTCAATAACGGTTTTTCGTCCCGGTAGTCCTTTCCCTATCGATATATGCGAAACGACAGTTTGTTTTTTCTCATAAACTATAACTGCATTCTTTCTATACGTCATGCAAATAGTCTGTTATAATCCTGCGATTTGTCTCTCGAAACTTTGGTTTGGTCGTCATATTGATTGATGGTTTTGTAGAACATTATTACCTTTTCGAAATCTGACAATTTTCGGCAAAAAAACTATGATTTGTATCGATTTGTGCAGCAATTACGTTGCACGCCTTTTTTTCTAACCTTGTGCTCTGCTGCCTTTATCCCTAGCTATGATGCTGCGGTAGTTTACTACCCAATAAAAAAGAGGAAAAATTAGTTCGAATCACATTTTTCTGTATAACGTGACGTCAACAGTTTTGAATTTCAAAGCTCCATTTTGAAAACAACTTGAATGTTTAGATGAGAACAGAGAAAGATAGAGCAAAGAAAGGTCACAGCTTTTTCTCGTGCAATTCCAAGAACAGAGTAGAAAGATGAGGAGGTGTAAAACAAAAATGGGTTGGGCTTGGGGAGGGAGCAAAAATTATCCGGGTAAAAATCAGGCTTTGGTTCTCGCACTTTTTCTGATCCTTCTCCTTTTCTACCTTTTTTCCTTTTACCGATGTGAAAGTTTTTTTTGCTTGATTTTGAGATAATTAATTTTTTCTTTGAATTTTTCTTGTCAAAGCGGAAGAATGGCAAACGTTTTTTGTTGCAGTGATAATTTGGCAACAAAATTTCATGAATAATAGATGCTTCATGCCCTTCCCGCAAAATTTTCTACATTTATTGATGTCCAAAACAAATACTTATCCTTGTTTTCTGACACAATCAAAAATCACAATTTTCTAGAGGCTAAAGAAGGGCGACTATCTCTTGCGGCAAAAATTCCCAGTTATTTATGGATGCAACAAATTTTGTTTTTTATACAATAGATTTTGCTCTTTGCTTCCTTCTACTACATTCTTTTTGCATCCATAAAGGCAAGAAGGAGTTTTTGTATGAACTATCGAAATTTTCTGAGCTCTTTTTTAGAACTGAAGAAGGGCATACCTTATGAGACGATGATAATCGTTAGTTATTATAATCAAACAAGGACCTCAGCTTAATTCTGAAAATAATAGATTGAAGACAAAAAGAAAACTAACCAAAGCAGGTAGAGAATTGCGTTTTTTGAGAATGAAAAATGAAGAAGAGAGAAAACAAGAACTTTATGCTTTTAATATTTTTATGTTTTTTGTGGAAAATTGAACATGATTGAGGATAGAAGGGGAAGCTTTTCGTACTGAAAACAGATATCGATGCATTACTGTTAGAGGTGCAGTATATTCTTAAATCGACTGAATTGCTTGAAAAATCATGAGAATGTTCAAATTTCATAGAGAATACAAAGAACATTGGATGGTCCAACATGACCTGTAATATATGACACCGTTGAGTTAACGATTTTCCATCAAATGTGTGCAGTAAAAGTTATGAAAAACTCGATTGGCAGAAACCGCATGGAATTATTGTTTCGAAATTTTTACTTATTCTCTATGTTCATTTCTCTCTATAAAACAAATTTCTTCGAAATATCTTAGTCAGATTCTGAGAAAAAGTAGATAATCAGAGCTATTAGGTTGATGCACAGTTCTTGCATCAAAAGATAGAAAAAAAAAATCATTTTGAAAAAGCTCAAACATGCTATTAGTCAACTTACACAATATGCTATTTGTTATGTATATCAAAAGCAGTTTTTTATAATATAGTCTACAAAATCAGTATTAAAAAAGAATCAATAAGTCGATTTCGAAACAAAATTCATGAGTATTCCTAAAAACATCCAATCAGTGCCAACTTTTCCTAGTCAAAAAAGTAGTTTATAAAACCAAGACCGAAAATAAAATTAAATTTTAACAGACATCATAGCAATTCTAGCAATCAAAAATCGGAAAATCTTTTTGGGTGTTTCTCTTGATTAGCTTATGCCCTCAAAAAACTTTACAGGCATATTGTGAAAGCGCACGAATCTCCCCATTTATTGTTTATCATATCAAAAGCTTACATTCGGGAAGGAAAGGGATAAAATTAAGACAAAAGAGAAAAATTATAAAGCTAACCTAATACTAACAATAAGCAATGAAATTCAAAACGAAAAAATACGGTTTTGTGAGTTTTTGTGGCGTCTTCAACAATCGAAATACGCAAAGAAAAGTAAAATAAATAATTTATTAGACTGTTACGGCTGAATACAGCTGGCGTAATGTCAGATAAACTTCATTTTACATGACAATGCGGTCTGTGTGTTTATTTTCCTTCCAACAAGTTTCCCCTCTTTTTTTTGGAACGCATCCAATCGTTTTCAGAGCGGACGTTTCACAACAAAAGAGCCAATGCGACGTCAACATCCACGAACTGGTAGCAAGGTAAGGTAATTTTCGCAGTGAACTCGTCATTTTTCAAGAGTTCAAGTCAATTTTTTCTAATATCTGGTAGCCACCCCCCCCCCCCCTTACGCCCCCTCTCACACTCACCATGTGCATAATTGTTTGTGTAATTTTCGGAATTATCGAAAGTCATAAAATTCAATTCAGATGGATCTCTCTTCTCTCTTTAGAAGTTTTTTTGAAAAAAAAAATCAATAAACAGCTATACAGATCTCCCCCCCCCTCTGTCCCCTCCCTGGCAAAAACTAAATACTCGTTAAATATGATAAACTCAAATAGGTTCTTTACCTTGATTTAGAAAAAAAAGAAAACTTATAGGACATAGCAGACAACAAGAACTGTAAAATTCTGATACTCCCTCCTTCCCCCCCCCCCCCCACCATTTCCGGCACCACAATTTGATATTCGCAGCGCATGTTTGAACTTCTTTTCAGGCAGTACGTAATCTAGTGTTTGCTAGCAAATTATGGATGACAGCCGATCAGTCGAAAAGAATTACTGATTTACAAGATAAAGGTGATGATGAAGCAGTTGTGGAGCAATTGACGGGGATATACAGGTAATATTTTCCTTGAGAATTCTTTATAATTTGATTTTTTTGTGAAAGATTTTCATTTTCCGCTTAAATTGACGTTTGCATTTACACTTATTCAGTTTCGAAGCGAACTTTGTTGATGTCATTTTTTATAAATTTTGATTTTTATTGCTAAACTTTGATGAAGTATCATCCAAAAATCTTCATGCTCTTTGGAAAATATAATTCGAATTTTTCTAATGTTTCGCAATCCATTAGGAGACAGAGGCGTTACCCACTTACTCGCCAAGAAGTTGTTGATTACCTGGCCCAGAAAAAAATGATTATGGGGTTTTCAGAAAATCACATTTTAAAACTAGTTCCCATGGTAGAATCGATAATTGCGGAATGGTACATACCAACATATTATGATCAAAATGCTCAGCAACTGATTCATCTGTGATGAGCAGAATTGGGGATCGTTTGCGAAGGATTTCCATGTCTTTTTGTTTTTTTTATTGCTCAAAGTTTCAGAGAGATCGCGACCGACAACTTCTTATGCAAAACAAAATAGCTTTTTCCCCATTTATCGCCAGGTTTTGATTTGGAATCTATGAAATGTGAGACTTTTTACGGTTTTGAATAACTTCGCACAAGTTGTAGATTTGCCTGAGCATATTCTAGATATAGGCGATCTGAAGCCAGATTTGGCAAAATTTATTAGGTCGTTTCAAAAGTAATTTCGCTTTTTTCAAACGGGCGCCATATTTGATGGTCAAAGGTTTCTAAGAGATCTTGGTAGCATTCGATACAGCATTTCATCCTCTTTTCAAAGGTTATGAAAGTTGCAAAATAGTCAATGATATTTCAGAAAATAACAAAATTTTGCGACCCATGCTTTTTGAGATAGTCAAGTTTCACAATTTTTCTAAACTTCTATATCAATCCTTCGAAAAAGCGAAAGTAATATCTACAAAGCAAACCTTACAGGATGCAAAACAATTTTTTCTCCTTTCCACAGCTTGTCATTCATTTTCAACAGAATTTTAACTGATGCTACCGATTTACATACTCGGACAGCTAAATCTTCGTAGAACATCAAAGGAAGAGCAGCTCGGGCGTTATTCGATGCAGCATTTTCTCCTCTTTTTAATGGGTGTTGTTTGTTTCCAATTCGTTCAGTCTTCGGAACCAAAATCCTCATAACTCATTTTTCCAACGAGCCCCAGGCTGTGCCCATGAAACTCGAAATTTGATGCTTCGAATCCGTAAACTCTCACTTGCTTTGTAAAATTACTCCTAACTCATGGTACTCATGGTAATCTTGGTAGTCTCAAATTCCGAATAATTGTGATGTTTGATGTAATTGTGTTAATGTAAGCCTGCCAAATTCCGATGGCTTTGTTAAAAATCTTTAAAAAAAATATCGCAGCTTCAGAAAAGAGAAAAAAGTTATACTGTATTCTATGATGTTTGCTCTATCGAATCCTTACTTGATCTCCTTCCGAGGATTGATATAAAAGTTTCAAAAAATTGTGAAACTTGAGACTATCTCAAAAAGCATAGGTCGCAGATTTTGGTTATTTTCTGAAAGGTCATTGACTATTTGGCAACAATTTCATAACCCTTGAAAAGAGGATGAAATGCTGCATCGAATGCATCCAAGATCTCCTAGAAACCCTTGTTCCGTCAAATGTGGTGCCCGTTTGAAAAAAGCGAAATTACTTTTAAAACTACCTAATATATCTCTGTTGCCTATTTTTTCATTGAATGTGTGTACACTTAATTATTGTAAGCAAGTCCGCTTGGTCCTTTGAAGCTTACCCAACTCCAAAAGTATGGAATTTTGCGAATTTTTCATCATGGAAAGCTTTTGATGCGCTCTTTAATATCTATGAAAATTATGGGTGCTTCAAATTTTTGCGTTTTTTTATTATTTTGGTCTCTGTTTGAGCAATTCAAAGCAGAGCCAAAGCAGCTCTTTCTCGGCAATGTTATCTTGCAATATACATTTCTCGAAAGACGTATTCAAGATTTTCTGTTGCGATAACAAGCCCTTTATTTTTATAGCTTTATGAACCAAAATCACTTCGAAGAAAAAATCCAAGCTTTCGACAAACTAACAAGGAGGCTTTTCTACATCGTGGGTTGTGTACCTTATTTCAAAAAAAAAATCAAGAAAAATTTCAAGTGTGTTCATGTCAGAGATTACACAACCAGCAAATTGTTCAGCAAGCTAATCGTTTCTATAGTGTTTTATATTTTCGTCTTGTAGTAGCTAAATGACAATTCTAATTGATTCCGCAGGAATTCATTTTCAAAACGAAGATCTGACACTTCGTACTTCACAAGGCAAGGATTATTTAATGAAATAAAAATCGAGAATGTGCCTGAGCTGCACGCTCATACTGAATTGAAATTCGCTGTGCATTTCGTGTATTCAGAGTAGGTGAGGAGGGTGCAGAACGGTTAGAAATCGTTTGAGTGGCATATTTTGAAAATGAGACCGATCTTGCACAGTTCTACGTTTTATTTCTTTACGAAGATAACTTGTGCTTAACATGTTCTGATCACCCAATCGGCTTTTAATATCGTTGAAAATGTTTTTTATCCAAAATAGCGCTAATAATTAAGGTCTTTAGCACAAACTGGAGTAAAAGTCGGCAAAACTACGCGTATTCTCTTTCCTAATAGGAAAAAAAAGAGAAAACGAATCACACAGTTCTTGTACGAAACAATCATTGGCGCTGAAACGTTAATTTGCCTCTCTTCGCATGGTTAAATCTCGAACTCAGCTAGTTTATTGTTGGATGTTCTAGTATGTAAGCTTATTGTTCGTTTATCTGATTATGAATTACTACTTTAGCAGAAAAAAATCGAGTATTATTTTTATGAAATTATTGTGTAGATTCCACGTTCATTCTTTTGAAGCAAATATTATATTTTTGCAAGAAGGTATTTCATCTCACCTTGTAGATGATAGCATGAGCAGATGAGAAGCAGCTAGAAGAATTCGCTTCTTCTTGCAATAAAATCAATAATGCAATATAATAATAATAATAATAATAATAATAATAATAATAATAATAATAATAATAATAATAATAATAATAATAATAATAATAATAATAATAATAATAATAATAATAATAATAATGACTTGCACTCATCCTTCTAACTAACTACTCGTTGCGAGGTAACTCCTCCTTGCATACTATACTTGTGATATAACACCAATATTTATCAAACAGCGGCTACAATAACAATACAAACAGGACACAAACAAACAAATAAATAAACTGATACTACGGATTTATCACATAGTCGCGTCGGCGACACCGTATTAGATTACCTGTTGTGCAAATTTAGCAAATTCTGAGTTTTGCAGTTTTGTCATTGACAGATTGCCCTCAAAATTTGGCGCATTTGACTTGTTCTACTTCTCTAAGGTGCCTCATCTTGATTTGTCTCTGAATTTCACTTTCTTTTTACTGGTTCTAATGGGTCAACTTTTGGTTACATGCTGCCTATAATTCTTTTGTAATATGTTTGAACCATGTTTTTACGACTTTATGTTCGCCAAAAAAGCGTAATACCTTGGATTTGAACAGTTTTTAAAAATACTCAAATTTTTACTACGTTAACAATAATCAAACGGTTTGCGTAGAATTGCAGCTTACGTCACATTTTACATGATGCCTGAGAATGAGAGTGCTGCATTAAATGAGAAGATTATGGTAAAAGTTGCAAAACTTGTGTGCCAATCTAATATTATAAAGAAAAAGCAAAGATCAAAGCATTTTCTTGCAAAAATTTTAACCAGATCCGGAGGTTTCAAAACAGATACATTAAGTTTCTGTAACCTTCCAAGTTGAGTTACCTCGTAATTTTTGTCAGTTTTAAAATACAATAATTTCGTAGCGTCAACTTACTCAAAATTTTCAAATTACTTGTCTGCGTGATGAATGCAACTCTCAAGAAAAAATTTTTCATAGAAGAACTTGCTTCTTCAAAGTAATGGGGCGAAATCTAATTTCAGACTTATAATGACTCTTTCAGAGGTTTGGACGATCGAACTCGAGCTTCATTACGTGTGCAATCGACATGCCGAGCGATACTTGCCGAAGAGGTGGGGCAACATGCTGTGGACGAGTTAATAGCATTGAAAACTAAAGTGGTAAGAGTTTTATAATTGCTAAATTAGCATGTATTAGGGTGTCTCATAATTTTTTACTGTTTTTATCCTAAACAAGCATTTCTCGAGAATTGGGGCACCTACAAAGAGAACGATCACATGGTCGTACTTCTGTATGCATAAGCTATATGATTATGTGCGTGGGAGGACCTCAAGATGTCTAGGGGCGGAGTTTGCCACACCTTATTCATTTTTTTCTATATTTGTAGCCATGGGAAAAAGACGGAAAGTGTACAATTGAATATGTACATGCGTTAAGCATATGCTAGGGTGAATGATGAATTTTTAAGATTTTTTGAGGCGGAGATACGATTTTTAAAGGCAAAGTTTGTTTTCATGCCATCAGATTTCAGCTCAAAGCTTCAAGTAAATTACGATTTGGGCAGATTCGTGATAGCCATCTTGAACTTGCTTTGCCTGGTCGAATAAATACTCAAGCCACAATAAATGAGGGAAAGATACCAAAAGGCGACGGTTGTAGTAAAAACGTTAAAAATTATGAGACACCGTAATAAACTATTCTCGAGGTAGAGTGGGACGAAAACTTTCAAAAGAAGCTTACGGCAGTAAAAACTTAGGTTTTTTTTGAAAATTGGCGTATACGATTTTTTGCGCCTTTTCATAGAAAAAGTATTCCAATCAAACAAAATTTACATTCCAATTTTTGTTCTTTTTAAAATAAAACACTGAACAAAGAATACCTGCATCATTTGTTGGAGTTTCAGATCAAAATCAATTATTAGCCAACCTAATAGTAAGCACTTCAATCCTGACCAGTGCGAATTGATCTCCCAACTCGCGCGGATACTCCCGCCCTCTTGCTAATTAACCTACACGTACTTGATGTTTTCGTCCCGATCAAGGATGCTACAGTACTTTTTCCTCATACGACAACATTTTGCGCAAGTTACCTGTGTGCTGAAAGTTGTACCGCTGCTACTTTGAAGATCTGATGTGAATAATACCATACTCAATGCTAGCTGTTTAAGGCACCATCATCGGATTTTGTTGAAAAGCTTAATTCCTTGTTTGGCTTGGTGAAGAAAACTGATGTTGCAGTAATTCAACCACTATGCGCAGCCGCCTATGAGGTTTGTTGCACTAACTCAGAGACAGTGTCCAGGCAAATCTGGGCGCATGCATTTTTTCGCAAGGAAGGTCAGGGGGTCCTAGCTAAGACACCGCCCAAGTTGCAGCGCTAATGATTCTTTATGGCTGAGAATCCCATCTCCAAATTCCTCAATCCTGCTCCGTGACTGTAACTCGCGAGTGAGAAAGGGCGGATCCTCGCGCGAACGTAGTCCTAAACAGAGACAAATGCGGGGTATGGTCACGGCGCAGGGCCTGAGAGCTCTGGAGATGAGTTTCTTAGCTGTGAATGGATGATTTGCGCTGCCGTTTGGGCAGTGCCTTAGTTAGCCCCACCCCCCTCCCCCATCAGTTTCCACGCGGAAAACCTATGTGTCCGAATTTGCTTGGATATTGCCTTCAATAAACGAAAGCTTTAGTGAAGGTTTAGGATTCCCACGTTCCAACAGCAAATGATCCTCCAAGGTTGAGGAGAAACGGTCAAGTCGTTGCGGCAGCATAATACGTGTAGATTGCTATTTGTATCAAATGTTTTAATTGTGCTGAATAAATATGGTAATCAAGTAAAGAACATGAAATACTTTACCACATCAGTTTTACCCATTTTATAAGAGGAGTCCATATCATCATCCAATTTGCTGATTTGGTAATAAACGGTTTCGCATTCTTTCCGTCCACAGTTAAACGTAGCAACAAGAAGAGAACGTGTGAGAGAAAGTGATAAAATAAGAGAGTGATAAAATAAAGGAAAGTGTTAAAATACATGACGTTCAAAGCGCTACAATTTAGATCCGTGGAGGTGGTTTTTTTTTTGACGAGAATAGATGCGGTAGGAAAGGTCTAAGGGAAAATAAGAAAAGCGAATGCGTGATTAGGTAATACACAAATGCGTAATATGTAATTCAGAATACACATATTGGGGTGTAAGTGACGTTTTTAATTCGCTTCCATTCAAAGCTGATCATTAACCTGGAAAATTGCCTTCCTCTTCTTCCTGGAGAACTGGTTTTGCACTCTAACAAGAGAATGATCAGATATCGAAGTGGCCAATCCAAACAAGCTGCATACCATTAGAGCAGCATAAAACGCTGATTTCGAATCTGTATTCCTTATCTGCTGAACACGTTGTGGGCGAAATTCTGAGCCGTCAAAGACCATTATTTTTCTAAAAAAATTGTGCATCCAAAGCGCAAATTTGGCAATAAAGACATGTTTGGTTTGAGGATGGGCCTAAACATGCAGCTAGATTATTTTATATTACTAGAACTAAAAGGTGAGCTGAAAGTGCAACAGTGTGCACAATTTCGCTAGTTTTGTATACGATTTTTTGCAAAAAAGTGCCCATAACTTTTTCCACAAAAGCGATAAACAGATATTGAATACAGATTTGAAATAAGAGTGAATGCTGCTCGAATGACATGCATGGATTGCTTGGATTTGCCTTCTGACCTTTACTTGTAAGGAAGTTTTGTGCCAAAAAGAGATTCAAAGTGCACTTTGATATGATACAAAATTTGCTTTGGAAGACTAAGGCCCAAATGCACTAACATCCCTGCGGCGAGGGGAGCGACGTCCCCAATGATGTAAAAGTCGTAGCGGCGTCCGCACGCGACCCCTTCATAATGGGGGATGCCGCTCCCCTCGCCGCAGGGATGTTAGTGCATACGGCCCTAAAGGTAAGCCAGGGTGTTTGCTGAAAAAAAAACTTGGGGACGGGCAGGAGGTTCCGCAGTAAAAATTGCTGCTTAACAACAAAACGTTAGCCCATACGCAACCAATTGCATTGCTCAAGCAATCCTTACTGCAGGGAATTCCTGATAAACAGTCCCATGTGTCTTTCTAATTTAAAAATCGCGACCCTATACGGCGAACTTGGTCAGAACTGTGCTACAAGAACTGTCTAGAAGGTGCATCAGTTCCAGCGTACACCTCATACTTCGCTCCACCAGATCATTATTTGTCTCGCTCTTTAGCTCATTTTGTAAGGAAATGTTTTGATTTGAACACGAATCAGGCGCTGGTCAGGCAACTTTTCTGAGATTGATTCCGCAAATCTGAAAAAACCTTAAAAATCTGATAACAAGGAAGCAGAGGGCTGTGTGCAACAGGACACGTCCATCATCGACTAAGTCTTGGTAAGATTTTGTCATGTCGTTGGTTCGTTCAAACTTTACAAACTTATAAAACAACCTTATCCATAATTGATAGAGAAGTTAAAATATCTGTGTGTGTTAAGAGAAGGGAAGAAGGAGAATGTGGGTGTATCAGCTATTTTATGTTCGTCACCCAATGATCGAATACCGAATTACAGAAAAAGGCGAGAATGTTTTCCTAAAGCCCATTGTTTCCAGTGCACAAGCATTTCCCAAAAAGCTTAATGAAGGAATATCAGCACAAGTTGGCGATAAAAGACAATGTACATTACTAGACGCATCTTCAAGTGCTGAATCCAAAGTTGCTGTCTTTTTTTTCGCGAGACAACTTTCAAAAGGAAGTTATGAGCGAAAGTCTAAATTTGTCAAGCCTTAAGTGACATAAAGTTGGCCAAAAGCTGTACAAGCTGTATGTCTGTATAGGTGTTTTTGTGGAGCTTTTCGCTAATTTTAAGTCAATTAGGGCCTGACACCCTCCTGTGACATAAATCTCGTCTTCGACTGCCAGCTCAAGTTAGCATCCTTCCTTTGTAAGACGCATAGTGCTGCACAATATGATTTGACTATGGCGGTATGCGCACTCTATTGCAAGAAGCCAGCATAAGTGCGGAAACCATCGATGAAAAAGCATCTCCAAAGGGTAAGTTTCCTAACATTTACAGTGGTTTATCTTTACTTATGTCTCGATATGCCTTCACTGGGTAATGGCGCGGCCAAGGGCGTCCGCTTCCACATAGCGTTGAAATCTTATAAACCCGTCCTTGCCCGGACACTGATCAGGGTTGAGCAAGAGTTCTGGCACGCGACCGCCAAATATAATCCCCTCCCTCCGCTAAATGTTTCAACAAACTCTTTCCCAGGATTATTGTATATCTATCTCAGGCATAAGATGAGACCCTATCAAGCATAATGAATAACATATGCGTAATTAGCATGTCAGTTAACCCCTGTGAGCTAAGTTTTGTAAATTCTAAGGCTTCCAAAAATTGCGTAACCCAAGTGAAGTGGTTATTTTAAAACTCAATTACATTTTCTTTCAGAAATAAGTCAGCCGCTGTTGTAGTTTTCGCTCACACTTGTACATACTTGTGGTAGTGGTAGACACTTTTGAATAGTAAATTTATTAGTAGACTGAGTATGAATGAAAAACAAACCGATTGTGACGGGACGATTAAATAATTCATGAAGGAGTGCCTTATATGGCGCTCACTTCCCGCGTTTCCCATAGATCAATACAGCAAAGACACCTGAGGATTACAAGGCAATAAAACACAAACAATTAAACACGTGAATAGCGCGAATGACTAATATCACAAATGTATTTTCAAAAATCTCCTTCTTGAGTCATTAACTGTTTCTTTTTTTTGATGGTCGATGCGTTCTTTGCGACCGGCGGAAAACTGTTGGTGGAGACGGTGGTGTAGCGAAGTCATCAGCGTTTCTGGGTCCGGTTTCGACAGTTGCGGCATCAGGAGTTGGTGTCGTGTCGTGATTGCTGATTGGCACAGCTGAGTGGCGTAACATCCCCATAGAAATCCTTCGACTTCGACACTGCAGAGCGAACATCCAATCCTTGTACATGTTCTAGAGTCCAGGTGTGTAGGCTTCGATGGACTGCGGTAGTCGCAAGCATAAACGGTATGGTAGGATTCAAAATTCCTTTTTTGGCTCCATGTGGGCGGTTGTAACTCTCATCGTCGGTTTCTATCCCTGAAGTGGATTGGTGTGGCGTTCCGAGTGTCAGTGACTATATGAGCGGTGTACCAATCGTCGTCAAAGAAACATTTCGTCAGGCAAACGATTTTTAAGCGAAGATGGGCAGGGCGTACAGCGGTGGCAGAGCAATAGCTTTTACAAAGTTTTGAAAGGTTTTCTTCTCGTTGCAGCTTCAAAAGTCCTCTCTCAAAAATTCGATGAATTCAGCTCATCCGATGGTGGAATGAAATGGCGGCGTCCGGTGCTTTATCTTGTACTCCTTGCAGACATCCTTAAAAAATTTTTAATGCAATAACATGAGCTCATAACTATTTCTATGAAATCGTTTAGCAAGTAATGAGCTTAGATTCGTAATCAACTTTTTACCCGAGAGCGATGGTATACATCCTGTCCTGGATTGCTGATTACCCTGCTGCAAACTCATGGTGTTCCGTGCCGAACACAGCAGGCCGCCAACTGGGCAATGCAAACGTCTGTGTTTCTCTTTATACTTGTTTAGGGTTGTGAACCCTCTAGCATATCTTGGTAGAACATACCACTCTAAACCACTTTTACACATCACTCCCTGTTCTCCTTCCAAAAGCACTTTTTCGTGATTTATATGTTCACTTACTCGTACGTGCAAACTCCCAGCGCTTGACTCGTTTACAAAGGATCAAAACTGACAGACGCAATGAGATTTTCAAACTAATGCTCTCACGATGCTGACCACCCCACTGTGTCAACTCTCAGTCCCTGGTTCAAAGTTCGCTGAAGTCAGTGAATTGGTATCGATAGAAAAAAGTAGCCCATGACACCTGCTCCAACCCATTGTGTGTCTACGAAGTTTGGCTCGAATTGGCTCAGTTGAATTTTATTCGGAACACACGCACACACACAAATTTATGCAGGTACAGTAGTATATGTGGATCATTTTCTGGAATTATGATCGAAAGCACAAGTAGTGGGAGGAAGATATTTGAATGGCAGCGGACTAAGTATTAAAACCTAATACGCATTGTGATGTTTCTGTCTTGTAGGTAAGACGTTAGGTAAGAAAGAAGAGAGCCTCGTGTACCGTGGTTGAGAATAAGCTTGCAATGCTTACCATATCAAGAAATTGGAAAATAGTCAATGTACATTTTGGCGTCTGAGTGTTCATTGTTGATATGGTCCAATAAGAAGCATCAGAAAGTTTGAATGGTGGAGCATCCAGGAGGAGAGCCATGTAGTTTTGATAGAAAAATATGGTTGCCATTCAACCTGTCAAAAAGCCTTCTGCAAACATTTTTTCAAAGAGCTTAAAAGCGGCCATGATGTTAAGATGGCGAAACTTTGGTAACGCATTACTAGGGGTTCTTTTGAGAACTGCAATTTGACCACTAACTTGCCTGAACTCGGCTTCTATCAGCAAGCTTCTTCGCCTCACTTTGATTTTTGGTAAAAAACCATTCTCAACTCTAGCCAAAAAATTTTATTCTGACTAACACCTCAATAAATAAAATATCTTTGTTAGAAGCTCGAAAATCGGAATCACAGTAAAGAATTATCTGATCTTCGGCTTGCCACTTCTGCTCTTTCGATGTCGGGTGGTGAAATTGTCCTGGCATGTTCTTCGAATCTGCGTCTGCAATACGAAAATACGGTGGTGTTACGTGTTTTAAATGTGCACTGAAATGGCGGAGCTGGCGAGGATGCATATTATGG